GGATTTGGGGTGTGCAGGATTGTAAACGTAGAAGAAAGGGAGTGGCTGAGGTTCTCAAAAGGTCAGGTTATACTTAGCCAGAAGAAGAGATTGAGATACATACAACCACCCCTTCTTCACTTATTGTTTCTCATCTCTGTTCATAGCCAAGAAATAATACATGAAAGTATATGTGTGTGTTTGCTCTCCCAACCACTCATTTTAAACCTGAAACCAGTCTCATAAATTTTTTTATGGATTTTATTATTATTATTATTATTGTTCAATTACAGTTGTCCCCATTTTATCGCCATTACTCTCCCCCTGCCCTGCCTACCCACCTCCCACATTCTATCCCCCCTCCAGCTGTCTTTGTCCATGGGTCCTTTATACATGTTCCTTGATGACTCTTCCCCTTCTTTCCCTTGAAACCTTTGATAAATGTTTATTGAGCATCTCTCGTGCCATAGACAATGGTGTGTGTATTGCAAGGTTAGTTACAAAGGAAGTCCTTGTTCTGGGAAAGTGGGGTTGCTATCTAAGAAAAGAGACCATGGATAATCTTTTGACCCTAAAGAGACAAAATTAGGTTTTCTCTTTAGAGTTAAGTAAATATTAGAATACAAGATTTTTAGTGGCAATAGGAAATACTGTCTGCCTATATTCTGCCTATTTTTTTCACATGGAAACAATAGTTTTTATTTCTTAAGTTGAGATAATAGATATAAAATACTTGAGAAAGATTTATTCCTAGTAAAGTATACTCAACAAACTTGTAGCATCAAATTTTGTATTGATAGAGAAGAGTAGCACCAAAAGATACCAATATATTAGACTTACACACTTAGGATTTTATTAGGGAAAGCTGTACAGAAGTATCTTTATCTCATTCATGTTCTGCTTAAACACGGTACCATTCTTCGCTATTGACATTTCACAGTGTTGATGATGTGGGCAAATATATCAGCCACATTAAAAACCTGGGGAACATTTACCAGATTCATTTTCCAGATTTAATTTGCTTACAATTGCATAGTAGAGCAGGAGTTTGTTTCAGGAGTAGATATTTTTTTCTGCCAACACAGTGCTATAGTTCTGTGTTTTAAGAACAGGAATGTCATTTACATTTGAAGTGGTCTTTAGCCCAAGTAGCCATAGTTTGTGTGGATGGCACTAGAAGCACCGACTTGTTTGTTAAGGCCTTCCGTCTACTGGTCTTCTGAGAAATTTAATGGAAACTCCAGCTACCATGTGATTCAGAATCAGTGAGAAATGTTTCTTCCCTCATGTTCTACGTCACAAATGTATATCTTTTTGGAAACATGCTATTGGTTTGTCAGGAAAACAGGATCTTGAAACCTTTTTATTTGAGTGCAAGGGTTCAATCTCCTTTTTAGTGAATCAGGTATTTTCCAGCTAAAAATGTGTTATTTGGCTTAACTTTTTATTAGTATACATTAATAGTTCAATAAATAAGCAAATTTATTAACATACTTTATAATTTTCAGAAATAAGGGCATATATTGGCTTTGGAATAAGCTTAAAGGGTTAATTATACCATTCAGATTAGACCATGTACCAGTTTGAAGTCTAACTTGAATTTTTGTGTATGACATGGAATTTGCTCAGCCTTTGAAAAGAGTTTTGGATTGATGGTACATCTATCATTTTGTTCTCCTTGCATGAGCTCTGTCTCTTATAGACAGGTACGTTGCTTCTGTAGTCTCACCTAGAAGAAGTTGTCTAAATTTGTGTTTCTCTTTAGAACTTAAGAGGAAAGTGAAAGTAAAAATCACAGAATTTCATATGCATATTCAGTGGCGAATGAGCCAGGTTTGGTAGCCTCTTGGAATAAAATGGGCAACTTTAGAAAACCTAACTCTGAATTAGGGTCTGGTACCTTTTTATAAAAATTACTTTTTAGATAGGAAATTGAGAAGTTTCTGGTCAGGATCTTTTCAGGCATTTGGCCCAATTCTGTCCAGAAGTAAGGAGCTTTTTAGACTTTTTTGATTATCTAAAGAATAAGACTCCTTACTATTTGAGAGTAATAGCTAGGAAAACCATATTATTATGTAACTTGAACATGTCCCTAGTAGAGATATGAAAATGTTTCCTAATCAAATTGCTCTATAAATGATAAAAATATGGGAAAAGTCAAGGATCTAATGTTTAGGCCAAATTATTCACCAACGATTTACACATTTTGTAGTCTTAGTATCGTTCCATGCATTGCAGGGTTTATTATAAAGATAAGCCTCATCCTTTCCTCAAGTAAAGTTGTGGGGGAGGCAGTGTCACACAGTTTTGGCATTCTGAGTGCTTCACATTTATTTTGACACTTATACATCTATTGCTAGATAGCCCTCTTTTTCTGATGAGGGAACTGGAGCTCAAAGAGGTGAAACCACTTAGCTAGTAAGTAATGGATTTGAACCCAAGTTTTCTGTCCTGAAACTTTATACATAAGTATAGTCAGCAAAATACGACGGTTGCTAGCTGAGTTTTGTCACAAAGCGCTAGTAAGACAGTTCAAAAAGGAGAGAAATCCTACCTTCGAGAAATCAAGAGACATTGTGAGGGGAATTTAGTTTGACCTTGAGTAGAGGCTTTGAGTTAGGAATTCATTTTTATCATCAGAATGCCCTTATCTGGAAGAGACCTCAAATAAGGTTAGTAAAGGTGCTACACCTACCTATATAGAACCAGGATAACTTTGCATAGAAGGGGCTGCTATTTGGATTTGTTTTATTGACAACATCTAATTTTCTTCACTCCTTACCTCTGGTTATGTTGTAGAAATTTGACATAAATTGTCTTCAGGATGATGTGGACATAGTCCTGTCTCCTTCAACTTGAAGGTTGCACCAGGTGGAAAGCTTAATCTCTGACTTATCCTGGAAACTCCAGACTTTGATAAAATGTTCATTCTTTAGACAGTGTCTTGTAGTCTAGGAAATAACTCCTAAAAGGGATGAAATATTTGTAAGAAGGAAGGAAATGACTGGACTCAGGGAGATTTTCCAGGCTTATTGGGTGGCTGAGAGAAGACAGCAGATGTGAAAAAAAACATACATTCTATTTAAATCTTGGCTAGAGAGCCTGTTAGGTGTTCGGGGCGGAACTAAAAAAAAAAAGAGGAAGAAGACTAGGTTTGTGGCCTACAGTAATCATAATAGTCTTGGCAGGCTCTTTATCTCTTTCATTTTTTTCAGAAGGAGGAAATTAGAATTCATATTTATTTAAAATAGTTGATCCTCCATCTTATAGTGGTTTTTACAAGAATTATAATTCTGGCCCTTCCTGGAGAGAGAACTGATTAATTTTTCTCTCTCATATCGGTACTTCCCTCCCTCTCTTTCTCCCTCCCTCCCTCTCTCTCTAAAAATAAATAAAATCTTTTTTTTTTTTTTATTATAATTCTGGGCAGCAAGCCTCAGTAAAACAATTTTGCCAGCTGTTGGTTACTTGAGCATCCCCAAAATAAAGGTAAATGTAAATAAGACTCATGGCTTTTAGGCAGCAGTGGTTTTCACTAAAGTTCTATAACTATTTTTCCTGGAAAAAAATGCAGTACTTCCATTCATCGAGGAGAGAGTAGTATTGTGTTGGTCTGTGTGTGTGTTCACATATATGTGTTGCACAGGTGCTTCCCTTCTCCCAACCCTTTTAGAGTTGGTGGCTTTGTCCCTGATTGTTGAGTATACTAGTTTGCAGATTCACTAAGAGAGCTTGTGTAGTAATGCTTGCTTTATTTTTTTTTCTCTTCCACTCTTGTTTTATTTTTACTTTTTTTTCTTTGTGATGTGACATTTTCAGCTGATGTATTGAAAGCAAATCCTTCTAATTTGGGAGCCCAGATCACAAGAGTGAGTTTTTCTACTGGTGTCTTTAGCTGTATATGTTTTTTTGTGTGTGTCTTTCCACCCTTTCCGCCCAATTCAAAAATGTTCAAAACACATTTCATGAATATTAGATAAGAAAATTCCTCTGTCTGTTGAACATCATGCCTGCCCACAAAGCAATGTCCACTTTATATTGGGTCAAATTCTTTTTTCCAATGCTATTGTAAAAGCATAGGATAATGTATGTGTTTGGTTTGGTTTGGTTTGTTTGTTTTTTATATTACATAGTGTGTTGAAAATAATTTTAGTTCTGTCTTCATTGCAGATAGATATGTCTGGATTCTGTCACTAGTGTGTCATAGCATTGTTCTTTTTTGGTTATTTTTCTTTTGTTTTAAGGAAATTTATATAATAGCTTCTGACAAAAAAAAAAAACATTCTTTTATTAGGATTTTAAGTAATAAATTCTTTGACTTATCTCTCTTCTCCCTCCTCATCCCCTGACTGTTCCTCTCAGGGCCATGAAGCAATGAAAAGCTACGCATAGTACTGTCTAACTTCAGCAGACTGACCAGATGAACTGTGGTCAGACTGGTGAGCTCTGGACATGCTAGCATTGGAAGATAGTTTGTTGGATAGTTACAGGAAAGCTGTTCATGCTGAAAAGAAATAATAGCACTTTTTATGGCAAAATAAAAGTATGCTTTCTCTTTGTTAGCTCTGATTCAAATAACATCCCCATGTAAGCTGTACATTGCTTTTTAAGGTCTTACACCTGGGTAATTTTCTGTTCTAGCTTAATCCCTATCTGTTCTTTGGCTTGTGTTATTACAATTTAGCTCATGTTCTGTTTGTCTAGTTTTGCATCCTGGAAGAGCAGGTGATTAAATACTCCCTTTTCTTTCCTCCTAGTATTTGCTTGTTGCTTCTGACATCATTAAGTTTGCCCAATAAAGCAAGTGGTATGCTATCCTAATTAGAAAGGCAGATACTCCAAGGGTTTACCCAAAGTGATCAGCTATTGTGTTTTCAATTATCAGAAGAGAGCATAACGATGTATTCTTCACTAGCATTATTCTAACCATTGATTGAGGATAAATTTTAAAGGCCTTGCTTTCAGGATATCCAAGTTATTCTAAACCACCCACCCTCTCTTCCCTTCTTTTGTTACCCCAGAGATTGAAAGATCTCAAGCAGAGAGAGTTTGCTCGAAATGTTTCTTCAAGATCCCGCAAGGATGAGAAGAAACAGGAAAAAGCCCTTCGGCGCCTCCATGAGTTGGCAGAGCAAAGAAAACAAGCTGAATGGTGAGGATTATTTTCTCTCAGAGGGCCTGCAGATAATTACGATCTTTAAGTTTTTAATAGATCCTTCTTTCATCCTAAAAGTATATCTCCACTTGGAGTACAGTACTGATTAAGAATATGCTCTTCTGAGGCCATATCCTACAATCTGTGTGACCCTAAATTATCTAACCTCTCTGCCATCTTACTGTAAGATAGAGATGGTAAAAAAAATCTACTACTTATAGTTGTGAGGAGTGATTAAGTTACTACATAAAAAGTGCTTGTAGAGATGCTTACTAGCACATAGAAGATGCTCAATAAATTATGGAGCTGTTAATTGTTCCTATCTCCAATGTTCTTATATAGAAAAGCACATATATTACAGTACTGGATTTTATAGGTAAAAAGTACTGGGACACAGATTCAAGTGTTGTAACTGCCTTGTAAGGACTATACAGTTAGTACTAACCGCTCTGAAACCTAGGAAATTCCCTAAGGTTGCTGCCTCCTTAAATGTTCTTTTTAATGTCCCTTCATGGTTCTCGATTAACAATTTGGGGCCGATATTTCCTTAGGTGGAATTTATTCCACCTAGGGCTGAATTTCTAAGCAACTAGACATTGGGGACCCAGTCTTTGAGCATCTGAGGATTCATGCGGTATATACTCCAATCAGAAGGACTAGGCCCACCCTGGTTGGGTGGTTCGGGTGGGTGGAGCTTCATCCTGTACACCAAAAGGTTGTGGGTTCGATCCCCAGTCAGGATGTGTACAGGAGGCAACCAGCTGATGTTTTTCTCTCACATCAATGTCTCTCTCTTTCTGTCTACCTTCCTCTCCCTCTAAAATCAATAAACGTATCCTTGGGTAAGGATTTTAAAAAAAAGAGGAGGACTAGGTCCCCATGTTTGTTTTTAATGGCTGGCCAGGACCAAAGGAAGGAATAGGTCGCAGTCAGAAGAGAAACTGATTGTGTTTATTTAAAATTTACAACCCAGTTGGGGTGAAGGTTTCCAGGTTCCTGGACTTTAGGTTTATTTTTGCCTCTTGATCCTTTAATACCCATTAACTTTTCTTGTGTTTTTGGAGGCAGAAGGAAGGGAGAGAACACATAGAGTGTAAGTTTTGAAACAAAATTAACCTATCAGCTCAAATGTTCGGTTAACTATCTATAGACTCCTTCTTTGGAAGCTCTTTGTGTAGTAAGCACATTCCTCTTGGGCATGTTGCAAGGGTGCCTCCTTAAAAAGTATATAAAAGGCCACTATCTGGTTCAGGACATGTTTTAATACATGTTTTTCTTCAGAGATGACCTTTAGTTCTGTTTTATAAACAAACAGTTAAAAGATGACCAAGTAATCTCTTGGGAGATTGAAAGGTTTTGAACCCTCATCAGGTCTTTCATTGTCCTACATGTAATGCATGATCCCATAGTAAGTATTACTGAAGTAACATGGCAAAAACTAAGCAGAAGATCAAAATAAGTCCTCTTTTTATTCAATTTGATGGTTTCTTTGCTGTGGGGTAGGTTTCATGTCACAGTGTAAGTATCTTGCTATCTGATTCTGTTGGGTTCCTGTCTTCCAATACAAGGAGTTCAGATAGCAAGGGATACCACATTATCCAAATACATTTGATTTCTGAGTTTAAGACAGCTAGTAGCTAGGGTTCAGGTAATGAGGACTTCAACCAAATAGGTACTTAATTCTCTTTGTCCTTCAATTTGCCTTGACATACACCTTGATTGTTCACACACTGTATAAATTTCAGACATAATAAGAGTTTAAAACACTGGCTTTAAGGTTCCTCAGTGTTCCTGTTTTCAAAGCTGAGAAAGTCCTTGGTAGTATCATGATTGTCGAATGGAATGCCTAGAGAGAATCACAAACCCAAAATAAATGCTTGGATATGGTGCCCAGGAGATAGACATGCTAAGCACAGACTGCCATAGAGTAGCACAGTGGAGATCTCTGACCATGTTAAACTCAGAGAGCATGTACATTTTTTAAAGTTAAATTTGAGGAAAAATTGGGACAACTGTAATAGAATAACAGTTTTTAACAGTGAAATTTTTTAAGTAAAAATATGAAATTTGAAAGCAGGGGAAATGGGGGGGTTGTTTTTTTTCTTTGTTTTTTTAGCTGAATAGAACTTTTGTGAGTCGATGTTCAGCCATACATTTGATAGCATACTGATGGTTAGGATGATACAATAAGAAATAAGCATGGATACAGGATGGATAAGACTGTACCAAATGATAATGATAAGTATTTTAATTTAGACACCTTAGGAAAAAATAGTAGTAACTGTCTAGTTTTGAAAATGTAGCTTGATAGATTAATAGTGTGAAACTTTGCCTGACCTCACTGAGGGCATTCCCTTCATTAGCTCAAGGCTAAGGAACGACTACCACAGGGTGTCTCTCAGACCTACCTGTGAAGGATGATAGAATATGAGGTAAGTATTTAATAAGAAGTATGAAATGTACCCCTAAACCTGTTTTTTGTTTTTGTTTTTTTATTTTTCTAAACCATTGCGCAGTGCACCTGGAAGTGGTCCTATGTTCAGACCAACTACAGTGGCTGTAGATGAGGAAGGTGGAGATGATGATAAAGATGAATCAGTAACAAACAGTGGCATCAGTACCACTGCCACTTGTGGCCTGGGATCTGAATTCTCCACAGATAAAGGAGGCCCTTTCACTGCAGTACAAATCACTAACACCACTGGACTGGCACAGGCTCCTGGGATAGTCTCCCAAGGTGTCAGCTTTGGCATTAAGAATAATCTGGGTACACCATTGCAAAAATTGGGAGTGTCATTTTCTTTTGCCAAGAAGGCTCCTGTCAAACTTGAATCAATAGCATCAGTCTTCAAAGACCTCGCAGAGGAAGGGACCTCTGAAGATGGAACAAAAGCTGATGAGAAGGGTTCCGACCAAGTACTACAGAAGGTGGGAGACTCGGATGGTGGTAGTAATCTTGACGGTAAAAAAGAGGACGAAGACCCTCAGGATGGAGGGTCCCTTGCCTCCACATTATCTAAGTTAAAAAAAATGAAGCGAGAAGAAGGAGCTGGGGCTACAGAGCCAGAGTATTATCACTACATCCCCCCAGCACACTGCAAAGTAAAACCTAATTTTCCTTTCCTGCTTTTTATGAGAGCCAGTGAACAAATGGAAGGTGATAATAGTACACAAAAGAATGCCCTGGAGAGCAAAAAAAGCAATTCTCCCAAGCCTAAAAGCTTCATCAAGGTGGCAGCAAGCCAAGGAGCAGAAAAGACAGTTAGCGAAGTCTCCCAGCAGCAGACAGAAACTGGTGTGGCTGAGCCCTCAGAACCTGGAAGCAAAGCTGAAACAAAGAAGACCTCAGGAGGGGATATCAGTGAGCAGAGTTTAGAGAGTCAGAGTCAGAAGTCTTCAGAGATCCAAATGTGTGAATCTGACCCTTGTAAAGAAACCTCTCAGGCCACCCCAGCAGGAAAAGAAAGCCATGAGGGACCCAAACATCCTACTGGTCCCTTCTTTCCAGTTTTGAGCAAAGATGAAAGCACTGCCCTCCAGTGGCCATCAGAACTATTAATTTTCACCAAGGCAGAACCCTCCATTTCATACAGTTGTAACCCTTTATACTTTGACTTTAAACTTTCAAGGAACAAAGATGCCAGAGCTAAAGGGACAGAAAAGCCAAAAGACGTAGGAGGGTCCTCAAAGGACCCTCTCCAAGGCCTTGACCCTGATGAGCCAAATCAAAGCAAGGAAGGAGGAGAGAACATAGAACATTCCTCAGGAGATAGGGTGGATGCACCTGCTTCAGGGTCTGCCTGTCTCAGCGTGAATAAGCAGGAGCCTGGCGGTAGCCATGGATCAGAAACAGAAGACACAGGGAGAAGCCTTCCTAGCAAGAAAGAACGATCTGGCAAGTCCCACCGACACAAAAAGAAAAAGAAGCATAAAAAATCCAGCAAACACAAACGGAAACACAAGGCTGACCCAGAAGAGAAAAGCTCTAAGGTTGAGTCTGGGGAGAAGTCTAAGAAGCGCAAGAAACGAAAACGAAAGAAGAATAAGTCAGCCCAGGCAGATTCTGAACGGGGACCCAAACCAGAACCCCCAGGGAGTGGTAGCCCTGCTCCACCTAGAAGACGGCGGCGAGCTCAAGATGATTCCCAGCGGAGATCGCTCCCAGGTGAAGAAGGAAGCAGTGGCAAGAAAGATGAAGGTGGGGGTGGTGGCAGCTCCCAAGATCATGGTGGGAGGAAGCACAAAGGTGAACCTCCAACTTCATCCTGCCAGCGAAGAACTAGCACCAAACGGAATAGCCGTTCTAGCCATCGGAGTCGACCCAGTAGTGGAGATGAGGATAGTGATGATGGTTCATCACGCCGGCTACACCAGAAGTCTCCATCCCAGTACAGTGAGGAGGAAGAGGAGGAGGAAGACTCAGGCAGCGAGCATTCCCATAGCCGCTCACGATCTGACCGGCATCATTCCTCGCACCGTTCCTCTCGGCGTTCTTACTCAAGTAGCTCAGATGCATCTTCAGACCAGAGCTGCTATAGTAGACAGCACAGTTATTCTGATGACAGCTATAGTGACTATAGTGATCGATCACGAAGGCACTCAAAGCGCTCCCATGACTCTGACGACTCCGACTACACCAACTCCAAGCACCGGTCCAAACGGCACAAATATTCGTCTTCTGATGATGATTATAGCCTCAGTTGCAGCCAGTCCCGAAGCCGGTCTCGGAGTCACACCAGAGAGCGCTCAAGGTCCCGGGGCCGCAGCCGCAGCAGTAGTTGTAGCCGCAGCCGGAGCAAACGGAGAAGCCGTAGTACCACAGCCCACAGCTGGCAACGGAGCCGGAGCTATAGCCGGGACCGCAGCCGCAGCACCAGAAGTCCTTCCCAGAGATCAGGCTCCAGGAAAGGATCGTGGGGTCACGAGAGCCCTGAGGAGAGGCGTTCTGGTCGTCGAGACTTCATCCGCTCAAAAATCTACCGCTCCCAGTCTCCTCATTACTTTCGATCGGGCCGGGGAGAAGGTCCTGAGAAGAAGGAAGATGGTAGAGGAGGTGATGGTAAAGGGTCAGGCCCACCATCTCAAAACAGCAGTGTTGGTGCAGGAAGGGGGTCAGAGGGTGACTGCAGCCCTGAAGATAAGAACTCCCTCACTGCCAAGCTGCTACTGGAGAAGATCCAGTCAAGGAAAGTGGAGAGGAAACCCAGTGTGAGTGAGGAGGTGCTGGTCACCCCTAATAAAGCTGGGCTCAAGCTTAAGGACCCCCCACAAGGTTACTTTGGGCCCAAGCTCCCTCCCTCTCTTGGTAATAAGCCTGTCCTTCCACTGATAGGGAAACTCCCAGCCACTCGAAAGCCCAACACTAAGAAATGTGAAGACACTGGCTTAGAAAGGGGAGAAGAACAAGAACAGTCAGAGACAGAAGAAGGGCCACCAGGGAACAGCGATGCCCCGTTTGGACATCAGTACCCCCCAGAGGAGACAGCTGCCCCCTTATCAGAACCACCTCCAGAAGAGCCAAAGTCTGAAGAAGCTACTGCTGATCACCCTGTGGCTCCACTAGGCACTCCAGTGCACTCTGATTGCTATCCTGGGGACCCGACCATGTCCCATAACTACCTCCCTGACCCCAGTGATGGGGACACCCTAGAGTCCTTGGATAGTGGCAGTCAACCAGGCCCTGTGGAATCTAGCTTGCTGCCTATAGTGCCAGAACTTGAGCACTTCCCCAGTTATGCACCTCCCAGTGGGGAGCCTAGTATTGAGTCAGCTGATGGGGCTGAGGATGCTTCCCTGGCTCCACTGGAGAGCCAGCCCATCACCTTCACCCCCGAGGAGATGGAGAAGTACAGCAAGCTCCAGCAGGCTGCACAACAACACATCCAGCAACAGCTTCTGGCCAAGCAAGTAAAGGCCTTTCCAGCTTCTGCTGCCCTGGCCCCAGCCACTCCAGCCCTGCAGCCCATCCATATTCAGCAGCCGGCCACAGCCTCTGCCACCTCCATCACAACTGTTCAGCATGCAATCTTACAGCATCATGCCGCAGCAGCTGCCGCCGCCATTGGCATTCACCCCCACCCTCATCCCCAGCCACTTGCCCAAGTACATCATATTCCCCAGCCCCACTTGACCCCCATTTCTTTGTCCCACCTCACTCACTCAATCATCCCTGGCCACCCTGCCACCTTTCTCGCTAGCCATCCCATCCACATCATTCCCGCCTCAGCCATCCATCCTGGACCCTTCACCTTCCACCCTGTCCCACATGCTGCCCTCTACCCTACCCTCCTTGCCCCACGGCCTGCTGCAGCAGCTGCCACTGCTCTCCACCTTCACCCACTACTTCACCCCATCTTCTCAGGTCAGGACCTGCAGCACCCTCCCAGCCATGGCACATGAGTTGGTGGGAGCCCAGGTAGGACCAGGGAAAGTGGCCCATAAGTCTTCCCTTGGAAGTGTTGAGCCATTAATACCAGCAAGTAGAAGCTGGGGTGGACAGTGTCTGATAGCCAAAGAATCGAGTTTTGGCTTGAGGGCTGGTTCTAGATTGGAGGTTTGCTTTGGGTTCACTATCAGGGATTTGTTTTTCCCTTTTGTTCCTCCCTCTCCTGTGTTTTGAAGCTAGGAAACACCAGTTAGTGCTGCCCACCCCTTTGCAGCAGCATCTCCAGACCATCAGGTTTAGGTACTCCCCTTCTCCCTGTACTTCTTAACCTCTGCTCTTCCCTTCTATAAATTTTAAACCATTTTCCTCCTCTCTGGCCAGCGGGTTGTCCATCTGGTCCTGCCTTCCCATTGTCTTTGTCCATCCCTTGCTGACCTTACATTATCCAGCTGAGTTGAAAAGAGAGTCTGACCTAGAATCAGATGCTACTTGGGCTGTTTTTCAATCCTCTTCCCACATAGAGAGCCGCACATTTGGCACTGTTGTCCTCATGTCCCTCATCCCAGGAGAGACATCGGCATATTCCAGAAAAGAAGATCCTATCGTGATTACAAGCTATACGGGACATAAAGTTGCTCATGTGCTTCCCCAGAGAGGAGCTCGTGTGTCTGAAGGGTATATTTTCTCCTGTCATGTTGATGTTTCCTTCTTAATTTATAGGATTTTTTTAATGTAAAAAAAAAAAATTGCACTGAACTCTATAAATGTAAATGCTGCTTTTTGTAGCTCATAAAAAAGGTTCCATATTTGTAGTATACTGCAATAATATTTTTTACATCCAGCTCTTTAAGTGATCCTTGTTCTGGTGGCTTTGTGTAAATATGTTTGCCCTAGTTGGATTAAGAAACTAAAGGTTATAAAATGAAAACAAAAAATAAAGTATTTGTTTTCTGCTAGATGCAAAAATGACTAAGCATGTATATTTTATCAAGCTCATGTATTTTTTCGAAGTTATGAACTATAAAAATGTTAAAACAGAAAAGGAACATGGTTTAACATTTTTGCTGGGACAAAATGTTCAGTAATTTGCATTAAATGGTGCCCCAGCACTGGGATTTTTTAACTGATGGGCATCAGTCAGCTGGGAATGTTGAGAGGATACTCAGATATGACAGTCTCCCTCACGTGCTTTGCCGTTTTATACAGAGAAACGGGCGGGCCCCACAGAGGAGGGAGACATTCAAGAGCTTTATTTGAAAGCGGCACGATTCAGAGTGATGAGGGGTTTCCTGGGTGCCTTGTTCTAGGCAGTCCATTTGCCTTCCTAGTACTTAGCCTCCTCTGACAACTTTTTTTTTTGATGTGCCTTTTGGGTTGGCTAGAAACAAATAGAAGTGGACTGGGGGATGATAGAGTTGAGACAGTTTTCTTTTTTGTTGGGAGGTGAGCACATTTGTAGATATTGCAAATTCTTTTGCTTCATAGTTTTCTATGCTTTCAGCCCAACTTAATTTAAGCAGTAAAGATTCCTTTTTTTCTCTTCTGTGACATCATGATACCTACCAGAGGAAGTACCATCTCAATTCCTCTTCCTCCTCTTGCCTTTCACCCAGGCTCAGACCTAACTCACGCACTGACCCAAAAGCGTTTATATTGCAGGTCTCATCTTCGGTGTAGTTAGCAGTTCCCTGTTTGGCAATTCCCTACCTATTCCTGTGGCTAGAATGGTTGGGTTGTCACTTACAGGGAAATCAAACCCTGCTGTTTTGTTTCTCAAATTCCCAAAAAGAAAAAGGTTTTGAGTTTATGAGAAGTAAGTGCTGGGCAAACAGGGGTCTTAACTGACCCTCCTACCTTTTCAGTGCTTCTCGTATGATTCAGAAGCATCACTCGTTTTGATAACTAGCACTGGAAAAGTGAAATCATGTGTTTGAAGTGAAGGAACTCATTTTTCTTTGCTCTCAGCCCATGTAAATAATTTAAATAATACAGTATTAACATTTGTGCTGCTTCCCATTAGTTTGTAGATTGAGCCATACTCTGGCTGCCTCTACCTTCCTGGGGGCAGTTTTCTTTAACTTCCAGAATAGCGATTTTAAAACTTAAAAAAAGAAAAACGAAGTAGCCTATCCTTCCTTACAAGCATAAAAGATTGTATTTAACTTTATCACATATGATAGAGATATATAAGCTGTAAAATTAGGGAAAGGAACTTTCTAATAAACCAATGATTTGTGGAAACTTAGCAGAGTCTCTTGTGATTGTTGCCCCATCCATTCAAGTTGGGAAGGGATGGAGTTACGGGTTACAAATAACATCATGTTTGAAGCGATCAAGGAAGAGACTCTTGTGAACCAGTTGGTGATGACGTTTGGAATTGTGCTTCTCAGAGCTCAGGCTGCCCGAGCAGAGGACAAAGATGATGTTGTGGAAAGAAGCATAGTAAAGTTTCTCATCCTTGGAATGTACACCTTCTTTCTACTCTTTCCCACAAGAATTTTCTATTTCTACCTTTACCTCATTTTTAGATATGTAATCTGTGTATAGTAGAACGTAAGTGCTCACTAAAATGGGTTTGGAATTTCTGGCTTTGACTTTTCAGGATTTTGGATAAACTTAAGGGCAATGGGATTACAGGAGTTACCTGCCTGATTTTTGCCCTCCAGATGTAGTTCTGTATACCAGAAGCAGTTTTGAATTGTTCTCCTCAAGCTTTTAATAATAATACAGTGCTTGAGGGCTACTTGGCAAAAGGAAATATTCCTTCTTACCTGATATAAGCTGCTATCTACTGTATCAAAAAAAGAAATCACAAAAGGGAAAGTTTAGCATCCAGAGCTAACCATAGATTTGTCGTGATAAATTAGTTTCTCTTCCTCAGCCTTCAGGGAGGAGTAGTGCAATGTCTGTTTCTTAACTACTCTCATAATGGCTGTCTGCCCCTTAACTGAAGAGAAGCTATTCAACTTGAACCTTGGGTTGGATGCTGAGATCTGCCTATTTTTCTAAAATAGCAAAATTCCTGCCAAGAAAGAAAAGATGTTAATTTTCTGTGCAGGCAAGGTGCCAGCGAAAGAAGCAGACAGGCCTGCGGAGCCTGTGCCTTGTGAGGATCCGTGCAGCTGCCCGCCTCGGCCATCTGGGCTTGCAACATGGACATACTCCCTCTCCTACACTCTCCGTGTCTAACCTAGCCCTTGTCAAGCATTTCCATTATTCGCCAGAGACACCTTCACCCTCCCCTTATCAACTATTGTCTGAATTTTTGCAGCGTTTCCCGCCCACCCTCCCTGACTCGGGATATAATTCACTGTCCCATACCTTACTGGCTTCTCAGAATCTGCAGTTCATTTTGTATTCACTGCTTCCCAATAAAATTGTAAGTTCTGAGAGGACAGGAACTGACTCTTAAACTTTCCCTCCCTTTTTTATTTTTATTTTTCTTCAGTCCCTAAGAGTGTTTTATGGAGTTGAACACAATAGTAAACATTTTGATTACATGTTCAAGAAAAATAGGAACAAAGTGAAGTACCACTTCGAAGTGAAAGTGAAGTGAGGATTATGCATCAGGATTTAGAAAGGAAACCAAAGACGATAAAAGATTTTTCTTCGTATCTACATCACCTAGCTCAGTGCCAAGCACACAGTGTAAGTTCAGTAATTGTTGACTTAATGAAGCCTTAACAGAACTGAGTTTACTGAAGGATTCCAGTCCTCAGGCGGCTGATGGGATGGAAAAGTGGCAGCAGCGTGTCAGCAGCACCCCTCTGCCTACCATCTCAGACGGGAGATTAACCCACCTCTAACCCCAAAGGGACACGCAGAGGAACAAAATGCTTACTGAATGCCAACCTCCTTTCACTTCCCAATTCTGACGCTCCACCTGTTTCTAATTTTAGTTACTTGTACCACTATCCTACCAACCAACAGGGCACCAAAGCTTCAAATTACTGGACACCTCCCCACCGCCTCCAGCTACTGATAGTGTAATCTGTTTCACGTTCCTGCCCCATCACCTTTAACCAAGAGAATTGCAGTTTCTGATCTTCCCACTGAGTCCTGCCTTTCGGGTTCCTTCTATGCACAGGCAGGCAGTGTAATTGTCCAAATAGGAGCACAATTCGTCAGTATCTTTTAGAACCTCCAGTTACTTGACCCCAGCTTTCCATTCCACCCTAATGCCCCAGTCCTGCCCTGTCCTGAGTCAGCTACTTGCCCCTCCCCATACTTGACCTCTATGTTCTGCCACTCTGCCTAAAGAGACTGCCTAAAACCCCTCCATTCTCTGACAAAAGGTAACAGTATAATGGTTAAGAACATAAATTCAAGCACAAGCATGTTTGAATCTACCCGCTGGCAGTGTAAACTTGAGCAATTTACCTAAAACTCTGCCACAGTTTCAGCATTTATGAAATGGGTGTGTTAGTACCTATTTCATAGGGTTGTTAAGAGGAGCACATGATATAAAGGATTTCAGCTAGACACAATCTCTACCCTTTGCAAGGCATGCTTTACTGTTCTGCTGCTACAGGTATATGTTCATGTCATAACTCCCTCCGGACTAAGTTCTTTAAATATCTTGATAAGGCATCTTATCAGTGCCTTGAACAGAGTAAGTACTTATTAAAAATACTAGTGAAGTGTGAGTTAATTTGGGACTATACAGTATACCCCAGTAATGACAATACCACTCAGCTGAGGCAGTGGGAAGTTGGAAGATAAGTGTAAGACTGACTTAAGTACTCCTTCCAATAGATGCATTACATGCCTGCCATGATCCTGGCACTGAAATCAGCAGGGAAGGAGGCCTGGACTAAAGTTTAAGGAACGTCAGCCTAGTAAGGGGTAGGACCTTGAGCTGTGCGCTGAGGTGGGGAATAAGAGGAAGGGAGGAGCTGAAGGGATTCCGGGGTGGCACAGGGTTTGGGCAGGTTAAGCTTGATGAGAAAACAGCAAAAGGAGGATGTGGCCATGTTTCTGTGCCCCTAGCAGATCTCAAGTCTCCTTTCTGAGAATCTGCTTTTGGGGGAAGACCCTTCCAATAACACTTGGCATTCCTCTTCTCACCCCTAGGAAATGACCTTGCCTTTCTGCTCGAAACTTCCTTCTCTTTCTGCTATGGGGCCCCATGTTTGCATTCCATGCTGAGTATACACTTCCATTCAGTGTGTCCCTCAGCACTGCTGGGCTCTTGGCTAGGCCCCAGGCTGCAGAAAGGACCTTGCTGTCTGCGGGGTCCTTTCTGCAGCCTGGGCACACAAATCCAGTGGACAGGCCATGACTAAACCATGTTAAATCCAGGGTGCCAGCCCGAAGAGACAGGGGAGGCTTCCCCTTGGCAATGACCCCACTAGAATCAGTTCTTGATGATTGGATAAGAGCTGTCACCAGAAAGAGGTCTGTAATTGCAAAGCCTGTGAGCCAGAATACCCTGGGCTGACTCCACTTTATCCCCATCTCTCCTCCCCTTGGACCACGATCCATCCACCACCCCTCTCCCAGCCCTGGCTGCACAGCTGTGACCACAGTAAGACTTGGCCCAAGGTGGAGGAAGAGTAAGGAAGCTGCTGGACCAGTATGACTGACTGAAGCTGCCCAAGGCCGTAAAAGGAGGAAGTGGATAGGTGCCTTATCCAAATGATACACAGCTCAGGTTTTATCAGAAGGCAGCAGCTTCCTTTCTCCTTCCCCCACCTCTGACCAAGTCACAGTGTGCCACATAGCCCCAGCAGCTCTGTGGGAGGAAGAGGAGGAACTACGGAACTGTGGGCTGGAATGGAGGGATACAGGCCAGTTAATTCATGGTTGTAACTATCCCAGGCAGAAAGAATGGATGGCTTAGACTAGCATGGTGATAGTGGAAATGATGTGAAGATTCCAGAGACATAGCTGAGAGGCAGAACCAACAAGACTTGGTGATAAACTACTCCCAGGAAAAGGGAAGAGTCATGGCTTTCAGCCATCAGCATCCACCCCCAGGGTGGCCTCCCCCACTTGCCTTCCTGCCAGTCCTAGAAACCATAGGGGTCTGGGGCCTATAGCCCTTTGCTCTGCCTACTGCTCAGCAAGTGGGTTCAAGTTTGATAAGAAAGGACTTCCTGTGGTAGAAGCTGAAAGAAAGAGGAAGGGGTTAGCCCATTCCTGCTGAGGAGGCTGTGGGAGAAGGAAGATGGCCCGAGCTTTGTGTCCACTTCGTGCCCTCTGGCTTATGGGGTGGGTACAGGTGCTCTTGGGGCCCGGTGCTGCCCCTCCAGCCTCAGCCTTGAACTTGGACCCAGTGCGGGTCACCTTCTACACAGGACCCAATGGCAGCCACTTTGGGTTTTCACTGGACTTCTACAAGGACAGCTATAGGAGGTAAGGCCTGGGGGAAGTTTGGGTGTTGGAAGAGAGGATTCCCCCACCATTACTACTTCTGTGAGCCTCAAGTTCCCCATTTGTGATAAAGGTTGAGTGAAGTGACTTCTAGGGTCTACTGGGGTTAAGTTCTTGTTAAGACTACTGGGGAGAGACCTGCTCAGGTTAAGGGTATCAGAGAAGGGCACCATTAGGGAGATGCGCACTGAAATTAGAGCAAGAACAAAGGCAAAGCAAAAGTTAATACCTTATTTTTTCCTCCATGGGTCAGTTGTATGACCCATCCCACCCTCATCCCCGCCAAATACAGCAAGGAGCGCACATGTCTTAAATGGACTTACAAAACTAAAATTTTCTACCCACCTTGCTTTTCTACTCCGTTTCCTTCATGCCCATCAAAATTATAGATACGTGAAAAGAAGCGATAGAGCATTAGTGGTTAGGAAAAATCAGGCTGTGACATCAGACTGCCAAGATTAGAGTTCTGACTCCTCTTTATACTAACTACGCTGAGCTAGTTACCGATAGAGGTGGACAGTGTGCACCCAGCTTTGGGGAGTGGCAGTGGCAGATGGCATGCATGTATCAGCCCCTTGGTGAATTTCCTTGGCTGAAGAGAGCCACCTCCCCCAAAGTCAAGTCCCCTTCCCAGTGTGACCTAGGACTAATGACTCATCAATGAGGAGTGTGGAGGGAGGAGAGGAGGGCAAGGGTCCCACCCTCTCACCTCAACACTGAAGAGTTCTGAAGGGTCCTTCCAGTTCCAGGGCTCCCCAGGGGGTTTGTGTGGCCCATGGCTGTCATTGGGCTTGAAGCTAAATTTGACTCCTTCCCCTAACCTGTTGCTTCTTTCCCCTCCTTTCCACAGATATTGGTCTCATGAGCACTATTTAACAGACATCCTGCATGCCAAATATATATATGTATTTATATATGTAATCATATATATTATATAATATATAATCATATATTATAATATATAAAATCTCGTGCTTTCTGAGCACTTGCTATGAGTTATATGCTGAATATCCCTCATATACTTCCTTATCCTGACATCATTGATTGATTGGTATTGTCCCCAATTTACAAATGGCAGAGCTGTGCTTCAAACCTAGATCTACTGGGGTCCTCAGCAGTATCAGCACCCTACCTTCCACTTCAGAGTTGCCCACTAGCTTCTCTAAGTCTTCATTAGAGCCTAGCTCTCAAGAAGGCATCTGGTAACAGTTTAACTTTCTAGGGATCATGTAAACCCCTGGCTTTTGGGGGTGAGGGCAATGGGAAGTGTAGGCGGGTACAGAGCTTAGGAAGTCTTTTTTAGCAAGGATATAAACCCGTGGCATTCATATCAAACCGAACGGTTATAGTTCCAGCTTTTCCCTAACTCGCTGGGTTTCTTTGGGCATGTGATTTATCCTCACTGGGAGTCAGTTTCATGGGCCGTAAAATGGAAAGGTTGGCCTACATGGTCTGTGAAGTCTCTTTGAGGAAATATGATCCAGTGTCACCCAAGGCACGCTGCCCTTCAGGGTAATGCTCCCAGCACTGGCACTGGGGGATGGGGTATCCCGGAATCCGCACTGCGCTCACGCAGCTTTCCTACGCAGCGTGACCATCGTGGTAGGCGCCCCGCGGACCCTGGGTCGCAGCCAAGAGGAGACAGGAGGCGTGTTCCTGTGCCCCTGGAAGGCCGAGGGTGGCCAGTGTTCCCCTCTGTCCTTCGACCTTAGTGAGTCCCAGGCAAGGAGGGAAAAGGAGGGGTTAGAGGGAGCGTGGAGAGCCGGGCTTCAACACCCCGCCCCTTCTTGTGCCCTCCAGATGATGAGACCCGAAAAGTAGGCTCCCAAACTTTCCTAACCTTCAAGGCCCGGCAAGGATTGGGGGCGTCGGTCGTCAGCTGGAACGACAGCATTGTGGTGGGCACCGCGGGACGGGGACACAGGGAGCAGTAGGGGGCAGAGACTCATTGCGGGAGGGAGGTGGAAACCCGAGTCCCGCCTCTTCCGCACTCTTCTGTGGCCCTGCCCCAGGCCTGCGCCCCCTGGCAGCACTGGAACGCCCTAGAAGAGACGGAGGAGGCAGAGAAGACACCCGTAGGTAGCTGCTTCTTGGCTCAGCTCCAGACTGCCCGCCGAGCGGAGTTCTCGCCTTGTCGGGACAACACCATGAGCCGGGTTTACGTGACAACCTCAAACTGTGAGCTCCGCTTTCCGTTGTGGCTCCGCCCACTCGCGGCACAGAGCCCCGCCTTCTTTCTGAGCCGTCTCCCTTTGCTCGCCGACCCCGCTTTCCTATCCTGCCGCTCCGCTCCCCCGCTACTAGTCACTCCGCCGCTACCCTGCGGGTTCCAGGCCACGCCTCTGTCACTCTGTGGCCCCGCCCCGCCCCGCCCCAGGCTCAGCGCACGCTTCTGGATCCGCCTTTCTCTGACCCGCCTACCTGCCTGCTCCAGGGGAAGACAAGCGCTACTGTGAAGTGGGCTTCAGCTCCGCAGTCACCGAGGCAAGTAGCGAGCCGAAACGTCCTGAGGGCGGCTCCCAAACAGGGCCCCCGCTCACCTCCGGCGCTTCCTTTTCAGGCTGGAGAGCTGGTGCTTGGGGCCCCTGGCGGCTATTTTTTCTTAGGTACATGCCCATCCCTAGCCCTCCCTCCCCTCTCTCGAGGCCCGGGGAGACCGCGGAGCCTGGGCCTCCACACCCACTGCCCCTCGCACCCTAGGTCTCCTGGCGCGGGCTCCAATAGCACACATCTTCTCGAGTTACCGCCCGGGCACCCTCTTGTGGCATGTGAACACCCAGCGCCTCACCTTCGACTCCGGCGATCCAGTGTACTACGACGGCTACCGGGGTAACCGCGGGCCCTCCCTCAGAGGCTTCCCAGCACTCGGTCACACCGCGCACGCCCGGCCCGTGCGGGGGCGCCCCCATGCCAGCCCCGGCACCCAAGGCGTCCCCATCCTCTGCTCCCGCAGCTTCCCCTGCAGATCTTGGCCCCTCGATGGCCTTCGCTTTGCTGTCTACATAATGCAGGGTTTAAACGGGGTGATGTCCGAGTCTCCTCCTTCTTCGCCCTCCGCCCCCTCCCTGCTTCGCTCTCGCAGAAAAACTAACACGCGCTGTGTTTTCAGGATATTCGGTGGCCGTTGGCGAGTTCGACGGGAAGCTCGGCACTACAGGCAAGAAATCCACTTAGGGGCAGAGGTTGGGGAGGCCAGCTCTGGGGGAGCACCTCCGAGCCTCGCACCAAAATCCCCCCGGGTGCGAAATCGTGGGCGGGAGGCAGGAAGGTTCGAAGAACCTCATTCCGCTCTCCTCAGAGTATGTCTTCGGTGCCCCCACCTGGAGTTGGACCCTGGGAGCCGTGAGTGCTACCTGCCCATTTGGCATCCCGCAGCCCCTGACCCTACTCTTAAGTCTGACGACCCACCCCCTACACCTCTGCCCTTTTCACCCGGAGCGGGAGGCTGCCCTGGGAGACAAGAATGACGCGCTCACGTGCAGCGTTGTCCGCACAGGTGGAAATTTTGAACTCGAACTTCAGGCCGCTGCACCAGCTGCAGGGAGAGCAGGTGGGGGCCGGTTCCTGATGGGGTGGCCGAGGCTGAGGGATTGGGGCCCTATCATATACCACGGGGGTGTGGGGTCGATGTCTAAGCCAAGGTGGCGGGTCTGGGAGCGGAAATTATGGTGCGCCTTGTCGTTCTGCAGGTGGCTTCGTATTTCGGGCACTCGGTGGCCGTCACTGACGTCAACGGGGACGGGTGAGAAGGAGGCGCCCCATCCCTACCCAGCTGAGTCTCTGTCTCTCCTACAGGCGACCACCGCGGGGAGTGGGGAGGGCGAGGGTGGCCCGGATGCGGCCCTGGCCCTCAGCACCCCCCAGCCCACCGCACTAACCACGCTTCTGGCCTGCAGGAGGCACGATCTGCTGGTGGGGGCGCCGCTGTACATGGACAGACGCTCTGACCTCAAGCTGGCCGAGGTGGGGCGTGTGTACTTGTTCCTGCAGCCTCGGGGCTCCCAAGCGCTGGGCGCCCCCAGCCTCCTGCTGACTGGCACGCAGGTCTATGGGCGATTTGGCTCAGCCATCGCGCCTCTGGGCGACCTCAACCGGGACGGCTACAATGGTAAGGGAAGGGAAGAATGCCACCTGCCCCGGAGGGGCTAACAGCTGCCATAAAGACCATGGATTTGACCTGAGAGCAGCAGGAGCCAAGAAGAGCTTTAAGCAGAGAGAGTTAAAGGAGACCAATTAGAAGTTGCTTGTGTTAGTCCAGGCAGAGGAGTTGGTGGACGGCGGAGCAGCGGGCTGGGTGGTGGTGCCCTTTACTGCCTGGAACTCAGGCTAGGCGGCAGGTCTGGGGAAGTGACATCAGCAGTCCTGTTCTGGGCCTATCTGATCTTGAAGGACTTGCCCACATCAGGCAGACGCATCCAGAGAGCAGGTGGGTGTAGCTTCCCCTACTTCCACCCGAGAGGCCTCAGTGGAATGATAAGGGCCGGGGGAGGTGGCGGAGCTCCTGGGAGCCTGTGAAGTGAGGAGAGGCCCAGGACACAGCCCCGTGGAGCAAGAGCATTTAGGGGGCTCACAGAGGAAGTGAGTCTGGAAGGAGGACAGAGGAGCACCCAGAGGGGTAGGAAAGACAACGGGAGATTTGATGGCCCAAAACTCAAAGGAAGAGAGTGCTCTAAGCAGAAGGAAGGGGTTTAATGGCTCTAGATAGTTCTGAAAGGTATAATTAGATGGGACTGGAGAAATATCCATGGGCTTTAACAACAAGGAGGTCACCGGTGGCAGCAACAAGAACTGAATCATGGCTGTGTAGGGTCAAAAGCCAGAACGCATGGGGCAAGATAAGAATGGAAGTGGAGAATTGGAGGCAGCTCATGTAGACAGCTCTTTACACTGGTCTGTGAAAGAGCAAAGATGATTAGTGAAAGGAAATGAGAGTCAAGGGAAAGTTATTTTAATTTTGCAGAATATAAAGTAGGTTGAATGTGAAGGAAAATGGTCTCGTGGGAAAATGGGGGGTGGAGGGATGAGTTGGAGGAGGGTCCCTTCGAGGCCTAAGGGAGGCTGGGCATGGGGTGCTAAGCCCCGGGGCAGGGTCAAGGACAGACCCCTCTTCCAAGGTCAGGCGAAGAAAGGGGGAAAAAGAAAGTGAAATTATAGCACAAGAGTTGGGTTGCTTTTCTTTGTAAAAGAAGTACAGGGCAGAGGCCGGGAGCTTGACAGAATGGAGAATGTTTGAAATAGGTGCTGAGCAGACCCCCACCCCACCCCAAAGGACTGCCGGGCAGTCCCTAGTGAAGGCTGGAGGTCAGGAATTCATGGTGCCCGCTCTGGTGGGGTCTGGCCAGGCCTGCCCAAAACTGGCAGTGGGGCAAGATGGCTGGAGATACGGCAAGGGTGATCAACTGATCGGGAAATAAGTGGAGATGAGGAAGCCGGCCCTGACTGGTGGGACTCAGTGGGTTGGCTGTTGTCCCACAAACGGAAAGTTTGCCAGTTCCATTCCCGGTCAGGGCGTATGCCTGGGTTTCAGGCCAGGTCCCCAGCTGGGTACATGCAAGGGGCAAATGATGTTTCTCTCTCACATCAGTGTTTCTCTTCCTCTATTTCTCCCTCCCTTCCCCTCACTCTCTCTCTAAAAAAAAAAAAAAAAAAAAAAAAATGAGGCAGCCGAAGATCAAAAGAGAGTGGAGGCCCAGGGCCTGGGGGTGCAACTCTAGTCAGGTTGGTTGTTGGGGTAAATTCTGGGTAGCTTGATCAGAAAAATGAATAAATATTTTTAAAGAAAAAACTATATAGAAGACAAAGGAAAGACAGTTACAAAATATGCATCAAAGGTCTTGATTCTTGTCACATGCAGAAAACTCTTCCAAATTAAAGACTGTGATGAATAACAAATAAATTTTCAAGAGGGACCTTAAAAGTTATTAGTGATGACAAGCCCATGATGTGGCTCTAAGCATGCATGCGTAAGCAGAAGCGGGTGAAGGTCCCTAAGGAAGAGGGGATCGGTATTTAATAGGTCTCTGTTACTTAGTCTTCTGGGACTCGGTTTTCTCGTCTAAAATGGGAATAATAATGCTTAATATTCAGGATCAAATGAAATCACATCAGTATATTTTTCCCAATAGATCATGATGGCTGTTACTCTTTTTATAATAATCCTACTTGATGGATCTCTGTCTGACCCAACTGTAAACTCCTGCAAGGCAGGACAGCTGCTTGCTTGACCCAGACCTTGGCATCCCTCTCCTGGTCCCCTGGGGTCTGCCCAGAGTAGGAACTCCTGAAAGTTTTACAGGGCCACCTGGAGAGATTGCAAAACAGTCTCTCTCTTTTTGTCCTTCCTTCCAGATGTTGCAGTGGCTGCCCCCTACGGAGGTCCCAGCGGTCGGGGCCAAGTGCAGGTGTTCCTGGGTCAGAGTGAGGGGCTTAACTCACGCCCCTCCCAGGTCCTGGACAGCCCCTTCCCCGCAGGCTCTGCCTTCGGCTTCTCCCTGCGAGGTGCCACAGACATCGATGACAATGGATATCCAGGTGCCCTGGACTGCCCCCAGCTAAATAAGAAGGGCCCTTGAACATTAGCTGGAGATGCTAGGAGATACGGTCAGGGCCTGTGCCGTGCCTGGCCTGGTGCTCCACTGGGAGCTCCGGCCTGTCTATGGGGCTGAAATGCCAGGCAGGGCCAACTCAAACCTCCAGCGGGGGAAGTGGCCGAGGGACCCCCGGGAAGATGACAACCCCGTGCCCTCTCTAATTGCTGCTTCTGACCCCCTTCCCATATCTGTAGACCTATTGGTGGGAGCATATGGGGCTGACAAGGTGGCTGTGTACAGGTGAGCACTGGCTCCAGGGGTGGAGGGTGGAGGACAAGCGAGAAGCGGCCCCAATGGCAACCCCCCGTCCCACCAGAGCTCAGCCAGTGGTCATGGCCACTGTCCAGCTGTCGGTACAAGATTCGCTGAATCCTGCTGTGAAGAAATGTGTTCTGCCCCAGACCAAGACACCAGTGAGCTGGTGAGGAGACAGAGGGCGTGGGCCAGGCAGGACCTGGGGCCTCGGGGACCCTGAGCCCTGAGCCCCACTTGCATCTTTGCAGCTTTAACATCCAGATGTGTGTAGAAGCCAGTGGGCACAATATTCCTCAGAAGCTAAGTGAGTGGCACGGTGGGCACAGGAGGGAGGTGGGCCTGGGCTCCCTTGGAGGCTGGCCAGGGAGGCCCTGACGCTCCCTGCTTGCCCCGTCAGGCCTAAATGCCGAGCTGCAGCTGGACCGGCAGAAGCCCCGCCAGAGCCGGCGGGTGCTACTGCTGAACTCTCAACAGGCGGGCACCACCCTGCGCCTGGACCTGGGCGGGAGGCACAGCCGCATCTGCCACAACACCACAGCCTTCCTCCGCGTACGCCCAGGCTGGGGGGCGGGGGTGGCAGGGCTGGGTGTGCAAACTCGTTCACTCAGCCCTGGGGTATGGTCTGGGCGCTGCGGGTCTGTGGGCGGTCAGTGTTAGGGTGCATGATAGCAAGATAGCCTGATTCTCGTCCCCTCCTTAGGATGAGGCCGACTTCCGGGACAAGCTGAGCCCCATCGTGCTTAGCGTCAATGTGTCCCTGCCACCTGAGAAGGACGGACTAGCCCCTGCTCTTGTGCTGCACGGAGACACCCACGTGCAGGAGCAGGTGAGGGTGGGTCGGAACAGGCGAGGGGGGTGAAGGACCCTTGCCACAATGGCAGGGTTAGGGTTAGTGTCCAAGTTGTAACGTGAACCCCACAACCTTCATGTCACCTCTAATCTCTGCTGTCACTCTAAACCCTAATGAAAACCTCAAAACCTCTGTGTCCCCTAAACCCCAAGTGTTGATGTCACCTCTAAACTCTGATATAAACCCATAAACCCTGATGTCACCACCTAAACCATGACACTGTCCCAAACCCTGCTGTCATCTCTACACTCCTTTCGTTCTCAGATCTTCTAATTCCCGAACCTCACATGCCCCAACCTTCCCCACACACCTTCATGTGCCCTCTGCAGACCCGCATCATCCTGGACTGTGGGGAAGATGACCTGTGTGTGCCCCAGCTTCAGCTCACGGCCAGCACGTGAGGAGACCTCCCACCCCGCCCTCCCCTGGCCCAGTGGACTCTGATGGCCCCTCCTCCCGACCTGGGATGTCCTGCACCAATACGTTGTCCTCAGCCCCTGTCTTCCTCCCAGACCCAGGGCCTGGATCAGGTCTCTTACTCCTTTTTTCCCACAGGGCAGGGTCTCCCCTTCTAATCGGAGCCGATAACGTGCTGGAGCTAAACGTGGACGCAGCTAACGAGGGGGAGGGGGCCTATGAGGCTGAGCTGGCTGTGCACCTGCCACCAGGTGCCCATTTCATGAGGGCCGTCAGCGGTGTGGAGGTGAGGCCCCCCCAGGGGGGCATTACTGGGGATGTGAGGGGCATGGGAGCCTTCTCCCACCCTGAGAGCCCCCACTTTTCTTATGCTTTGTTGTAAAAGCTGCATTTTTAAAAAAATTTGGAAGAGGAGTACTTGCTAATGGCCCCAAATTTAAGAAATTTATTATTATTAAACCCAAGTCCAAAATGGCTCAGGAACTAAATGTTTGGACCTGTTAACATTTTGGTGGGTTCTTCTTTCCACCTTTTTTCTCAGCATCCACAGATACTTATGTAGGTATTGTACATATTTATTTATTTATTTATGTAGTTTATAACAGTGTGGTTAGAGGCTACGTAATGTTTTGTGTTTTTTACTTCCAAAAAGCATTAAAAAAATAATGAAGTGCTGGAGTAATACATAAATTAGAATGTGACAATGCCTTCAATTTCCACCCCCAAGAAACTCTCCTCCCAGCCTGGCACACAAGTCTTTTCCAGACCTCCCAAGAAGTTTAAATCAACCATCTTCTTTCTTGAAACTACCTCCTCAAAGGGCTTCGAGAGGCTCATCTGTAACCAGAAGAAGGAGAATGAGACCAAGGTTGTGCTGTGTGAGCTGGGCAACCCCATGAAGAACGTCCGGGTGAGGCTGCCAGGTCCTGGGTGCCGGATCTCCTCCTCCAGGGTCTCATAGACAGCCAGGTTTTAGGGGCTGGGTTTGGAGTTAGCCCTGGGCCGGAATCCCAGTCCTCACTCTCCCTCACTGTGTGTTCTTGGATGAGGATGCTTCCGTCTCTGAGTGGGCTTCTGAGTAAAATGGAGATCATAATGGCGGCCTGGGAGGACGAGGACTGTAGGCCACATTCGATGTTCAAAGTAAGCACCTGGGCAGTGACTTTGGCTTTCCGGTTTCTCAGGTAGGAATCACCATGCTGGTCAGTGTGGAGAACCTGGAAGGGGCTGGGGAGCAAGTGCTCTTCCGGCTGCAGATCAGGAGGTACTGGACCGGGGCGTGCCTGATGCGGAGGTGCTTGGGTGCCCTCCATACAGAAGATCCCTGCTCTTCAGACTTTCCTGCTCCCTTTCTTCCTGTCTCTGAGGCTTGGAGCCCAAGTTCCTCCCCAGGCCAGACTTTTGTCTGGCACTCTACCTGTGGAGTTAGCTCTTCCTGAGCCCTCTGAAATCCTGGCTGCGTCCCGAGAGTCCCGATGCTCCCTGGGCTGGAGTCCCTGACCTGCCTCTCCCTTCCCCACCCCTCTAGCAAGAACAGCCAGAATCCAAACAGTGAGGCTGTGCAGCTGGAGGTGCCAGTCCGAGCGGAGGCCCAGGTGGAGCTTCGAGGGTGAGAGGCCTGGGAGGGACAAGGGAGAGGGCAGGCAGAGACCTTAGGTCAAGGGGTCCTGGGGGAACCCCCGTGGGTGAGTCAGTGGATCAAGCTTACTTTGGGGGCTCGGACCCCTGCAGGAGCTCCTTTCCAGCCTCCTTGGTGATGGCGGCAGAAGAAGACAACAGGGAGGACAGCTCAGACAACTGGGGCCCCAAAGTGGAACACACCTATGAGGTAGGGAGGAGACCCCCAGCCCCAGGCCGGGGAGGGAGGGTGTCAGGACCTACAGTCTAGGCACTGAGCCACCTGATATCCTGCCACCACCAACTCTACCAGCTCTACAACAATGGCCCCGGTACTGTAAGTGGCCTCCACCTCACCCTCCACCTCCCCGGCCAGTCCCAGCCCTCCGACCTGCTCTACATCCTGGATATACAGCTTCAGGGGGGTCTTCAGTGCTCCCCACAGCCCTCTCCCAACCCCCTCAAGGTGAGAGCATGGGGGGAAGAAAGAGCTGGGGGTGCGTCCCTCGCCCATCAACTGGGGCCCCTCTGGGAAGGCAGGGTGATGGGCAGAGCATGGGACCTGACAGCTTCTTTGACTCCCCAGCTGGACCAGGGACTGCCCACCCCCGCTCCCTCCCCCATCTACCCCGGCCACCACAAGCGTGAGCGCAGGCAGGCTCCCCAGCTGGGGCCCAAGCAGCCAGGGAAGCTTCAGGATCCAGTTCTCGTGGTGAGCAGGCTCTGTGCTCTCTAGGTGGGGTCTCTTCTTTCCTCCCTGGGGCCCAGGGGGCAGAGGGGCTGGGAGGCAGGGAGGGGGCAGGAAAGTGATGCGGGTCTCTGGTTAGCCACTTTGGTCCAAGTGAATATGAAGGATTGTGCCAGTCTTGTGTCTGGCGCGGGGTGGGAGGCATTTGCATTTTTAAAGGTTCCCAATACATTAAAGATAATAAAGACAGCCCTGGCTGGTGTGGCTCAGTGGATTGAGTGCCAGCCTGGGAACCAAGGGGTCACAGGTTTGGTTCCGAGTCAGGGCGCATGCCTGGGTTGCAGGCGGGTCCCCAGTAGGAGGCGCCAGAGAGGCAACCACACATTGATGTTTCTCTCCCTCTCTTTCTCCTCCCTTCCCCTCTGTCTAAAAATAAATAAATAAAATCTTAAAAATAAATAAATTAATAAGAAAGGAGGAGACCTCTTAAAAGAGAGAGAGAGAATGAATACCAGAAAAAAAGGGGGAGGGGCTTCTGCTGTGAGTGGCACATGTAGGGCAGCTTGATTGCTCTATGTGTGGAATCGACATCAAGAGATTCCAGAAGCATAATTTTTGGATACCTGGGCTGCTAGTGATCTTAGGTCCTGGTGCCCGCTAAAAAAACAAAAGAGAGGGAAAGAAAAAAAAGATAATGACTACAAGTCAAAGCAGGGTTACAGAAATGTTGGGCATTGAACGCTGTACGAGGGCTCACTTCTTCCGGCCCTCTCCCTGTACCCCTGGGACTGTGTGAACACCCCCATTTCGAAGGAACGTCTGGAGCCTGTGTCTGAGGCCCTTCAGGAGGAGAAGGCCCAAGCTCCCACATGCTCCCCTCCCCGGCCTTCCCCCTCTCCGTCTGTGTGAGGTCCTTGGCGAGAGAGGGTGACAGGTCTGCAGGGGCTGGGGACTAATCACGCATCCCCTCAGAGCTGCGACTCGGCGCCCTGTACTGTGGTGCAATGCGAGCTGCAGGAGATGGCGCGCGGGCAGCGGGCCATGGTCACGGTGCAGGCCTTCCTGTGGCTGCCCAGCCTCCGCCAGGTGGGACGGGCCGCGCCGGGCGGGGCCCGGGGGCGGGGCCTCCTGGGGCGGGGCCTGAGTGCGCTCCCGGGAGAGGCGGGGCTTCGGGGAGCCGGGAGAGAAAGCTAGGTCACTTTGCTTTCTATTTTTTTGTGTGTATTTTTAAATTAATTAACTGTTTCTGGGCGGGCGGAGTTTGCTTTGGAAGGGGCAGGTTTAGGCCAGGGTCAGGGCTCCCCAGGGGTAAGTCTGGGGCTGGGACTCCCGCAACCAATAGGCTTGTATGAATGGCTTTCCCCTGTACCCCATCCAGAGGCCACTGGATCAATTTGTACTGCAGTCGGACGCCTGGTTCAATGTCACTTCCCTTCCATACTCTGTGCCTGCCCTCAGCCTGCCCAGCGGGGAAGCTCTGGTGAGTATGGAAGAATGTTGTCAAGGACAGGAGTCCCATTGCTCATCCTGTGCGCCCGTGTCCAGAAGGATGGGGGCGGGGACTCCCTGAATCTAAAGGGTGAGTCAGGTAGGTGGCATGGCTTGGCTTGGTGCCCCCACCCCACAGGTTTGAGTTTTGGGGAACGGGAAATAAGAAGGTGACGGAGGGCATCCGTGGGACTGTCCTCAGGTGCAGACGCAGCTGCTTCGGGCCTTGGAGGAGAGGGACATTCCCACCTGGTGGGTGCTGGTAGGCGTGCTGGGTGGCCTGCTGTTGCTCACATTCCTGATCCTGGCCATGTGGAAGGTAAGGCGTGAAGGGGGATGCGGTCCCTAGGTGTGCACAGATTTGGCCTGGCCACCCTCACACAGAGGCACAGAGAGGCAGTGGCCCCAGTGGGTGACCCAGAGCCCATCCGGTCTACATCTCCACTGTTAGACTGTCGTTCTCCAGAGGACCTCTTCCAGGCACAGAACCCTAGGAGAAGCGGCGCCTGGAATTCTAAGTTCTTTAGACCCATCAGCCCTGAGAGGAACAGCCACAGGGCACGCGTGCTGCCTTCAGGGCCTCCCTGGCTGCTGTGGAGGACAGGGCTCACCTCCCCCTGCTCTTCTTTGCCCCAGCTGAGGTGGGAGGCCCAGGTCTAATCCAGACCCTGCTTCCTGCTCCTTCTGAGCCCCTGATGGCCCTCTCCCGCCTCTGTGCCCAGAGGACAAGCTCTCTCAGGTGCCCAAGCGCTGTGGAAGCACGGTGCTTTTAGGGAAAACCACACATTAGACTTAAGATAGTAAAATATATGTCATCATACACTTAAGTCATAGAGAGATATAATCATCAGTATTTAAGAAAAATTTGGGGGAGAAAAGCAAAACATTTTTGTTAAACTGTTACATGCATTATCTCTCAATGGGGAATGGCCTTCATTTGTGCAAGCAGTAGGGGCCACGGTTTGTGCTGGTCTGAGAGAGGACATCGCGGCTGGCTGCTTTCCAGCTCGCTTGCTTCTTCCAGTGCTGCTCTGGGGCCTAAGGACCATTTGTATAACCTGTCCCCGGCCCCTGTGCACCCTCAGGTCGGCTTCTTCAAGCGGAATCGGCCACCCCTGGAAGAGGATGAGGAAGAGGAGTGATGGCACAGCCATGACCTGTCCTAACAGGAAGGCTGGGTGTGATGCCTGTGTGGCCCTTCTCCATGTGTCCCTCGCTCTGGTTACCCATGCGCAGGAGCTGTTCCATGGAGGCCTCCTGACGTTCGCCCCTGTGTCCCACCAGAGCTGGGCCACCCGCTTTCCTGCTGTCTAATAAAGAGACAGCCCCAGCCCCCAATGTGCTGCTTCCTCCCCGCCACCCCGTCCCACCAGACGTCTCCCCCCTCCCACCAGAGCTGGGCCACCCGCTTTCCTGCTGTCTAATAAAGAGACAGCCCCAGCCCCCAGTGTGCTGCTTCCTCTCAGGGTCAGAAGAGGAGAGGGGACCAAGGTGATATTTGGAGAGGGGATCTGGGGCCAGTAGAAATATGAGCAGAGATCACTTCTGCCAGGGCAAAGGTTGCACATTACTGTCTTTGGGGAGTGTCAGGGAGTAGAAAGTGGGGGCGGAGCAAGGGAGAAAGGGCGGCAGAGCCTCCAGGTGAGACTGGGGGGAGGGATAGAGGTGTCTGAGGACAGCAATGAGGGGTGGCAGAGGAGGCAGGCAGGATCCCTGGTGGGCAGCTCTAAACAGTATTTTTTTAAATGATTGCGAAGAGATAAACATCAAGAGAAGAACACAATCTCCTCACTCCTATTAAAAAAAAGAAATAGGTGTTTAAAGCTGTGTTCAGAGTGAGGAGCGGCAGAGGGAGGCTGACTCAGCGCCCATCCGGAGGGAGACGGTGTCAGGGAGCTGTTACCATTCCTTCTATCCCTTCTTCCCCACCGAGAAGGGCCCTTCAGTGAGGAAAGGGAGCACTGGGCAGGGAGCTCCCAGGAGGACGAGGGGTGAAGACAATTCTCCCCCCACTGAGATTGGAGTCGGTGCGGGGGGACTCAGGGGGCCCACCCAGAGTCCGGAGAGATTTATTGATGCATGAGTTTAATAAACATTGAGCACCTACCGTGTGCCTGGTACCATTCCAGTGCTGGGATGAAGTAGTGAACAACAACAACAAAAAAGTCCCTGCCCTCATGGAATTTACATCCAGCCAGGAGTAAAGAGTAAAAAAAATAAATAAATGTATAGTCAGTGGTGGTTAGTGATGGGAATAAAAAAGAAGGTAGGAAGCTAGTGATAGAATTATGTGGGCCTTGGGAGCGGGCTGACATTTTCGGCAGAGTGGTCAGGAAAGGCCTGTCTAATGAGGTGAGCAGAGGAAGGAATGAATGAGCCAGGTGGCTGCAGGGAACTAGTGTTCTGGACAGAAAGAGCAGCCAGTGAAGAGGCCCTGAAGTGGGAGCAGGCTTGATGTGTTCACATAAAAGCAAGAAGGCCCACAGGCTGGAGACAGGTGAGGAGTCCAGGAGAGGAGGTTGGGGGTCAGGGCGGGCAGGCAGTGCCTGTGGCCAAGGACTTTGGACTGGATGCTAAGGGTTGGGGAAGCCATTAATGGACAGTCTGGCCTCACAGGAGCTTCCACCCAAAGGGGAAAGAGGTAAATTCTGAACAGAACAGAACAATTTGACATCCATGCATGGTAAGTTCCAGAAGAGGTTCCTAGTTGGGTGACTGAACATTTAGGAAAAGATTAAGCTGTGATCCTTGAACACCAGCCAAATCTGCCCCTCCGTGGCCATCGCAGTTGGATAGCCCCAGACAATTTATAATAATCTGGCAAAGCATTTGGCATCTGTCCTTATACACAAGACAGAAATGTGAGCTGGGTGAAAGAGACTTGGATTGAAAACTGAACAATTTTGATAAAGCTGAAGGATATCTCTTTGGGGGTGTCCCAAAGCTCCATCCTAACCCTGGGTTGCCTGGTGTTGTCATGAGTCCCTTCACCCTGCAGATGGCTGCCGGCAGAGAGGGAGCTCCAATACAATGGTGACTGAAGCAGATTCAAGGCAGCCTTGACAGATTGCAAAGTTGGGTTGTAACCAACAAGATGAAATTCACCAAGGATGAGTGCTAAATCCTGTGATGAGGTTCCAAAATTTTGGTTACATAAGAACAGGACTGGGAAATCTGGTTAGATAGAAATTTATGAGGGTTGTGGGGAATAGAAGGAAAGGAAAGGAAGGAAGATATAATGGAAGGCAGGCAGGAGGAAAGGAGGGGAGGGGGAAGGGGGGAAAAAGAAGGAAGGAAGGAAGGAAGGAAGGAAGGAAGGAAGGAAGGAAGGAAGGAAGGAAAATCTTGCTGGTTTTTGTCCATAATCAGAAAACAAGTTTCCCTTATTTTGGAAGATTCAACCAAGAGAGAAGCACCAGAAGATGAGCCTGCATTGCTGAGGTCCTTGCCCAAGGCATCCAGTCCCCTCAAGGGCACTACATTTTGAGTAACAAGCCAGCAAGAACAAGGAGAGGGATACCAGATTAGATGAGGATTCAGCCACCCAGAAACTGAGTGAGGATGACAACCAGAAGTTGGAAGGAAGGAGAGTTTGGCTGGGACTAGAGGGCAGACCAATATCTATCTTCAAACGTGGGGTTTAATGGCTGGGGAAGAAGGAAAAGATTCAGATTGTCATTCATGACCCGGAACCAGTGGGACCAACCAGTGATTCTCAGTGGGAAAGACAGGCTGTTTCCACCTCTAGAACTTCTAACCATTATGATAACCCATCAATGGATCTTATTACCTTGGCCAACAATAGCACCTGTTCAGGCATGTGTTAGACTCTTTACATCATTACAACAGACCCATTACATCGTTACAAGAGCCCCCACGAGGTAGAGATTACAATTCTCACTTTAAAGGAAGGCTAGGTAACTTGCTCATGGCTTAATAAGATGTAAGAGCTAGACAAGAACTGGGACTGATTCCCAGGGGGATGTGCCCTATCCCCCCTCCCCGCCCCCACGCACTGCGCTAATGTTTGTGCGGAGAAAAGGGAGCAGTAAAAGCAGAGCAGTTCTCACACTTTTTGGAGACGCTTATGACGGTACCCACCTCTTTGAGTATATTACAAGCAATAGCCAGCCATTCCCCCCACCCCCAAATTTTGCACCAAATTTCGGGGACTCTGGAACGCCAAGCACCCCGGCGATTGGACCCTGTTCGTTACACTTCCTTGCAGCTCTGAGTCTCGGAGCGCAGGATGGTGGCTGCGGGGTGGGCTGAGCTCCGGCAGGGCCGGCGTGCTGCGGGCGGAGCGGGGCGGTGAGGGGGCGGTGCCCGAAGGTCCGCGGGGGTGGGGCGCCGCCTGCAGGGGGCGCTGGCGCGTCTCCGGGCGGAGACAATCGCACCGAGCGGCCGCCGCAGCCAGAGCGGGAGCCCGAGCCGCGCGGCGCGGCGCGGAGCTGGGGCTGAGCGGGGTCGGCCGAGAGGGGCCGGGCGGAAGCCATGGGCCGCTAGGGCTGGGCCGAGTCCCGCGATGCCGCCACCGAGTGGCCCCAGCGTCCTCGCGCGGCTACTACCGCTGCTGGGGCTGCTGCTCGGCGGCGCCTCCCGGGCTCCCGGCAAGTCGCCGCCGGAGCCCCCCAGCCCGCAGGGTGAGTCTCGTCCAGGAGGGGCAGCGATCGCGGGCCTGCGCCCCGCACCCCCACCGGGCCTCCGCCCGCCAGCCTCCTCTTGGCGGCGCTCGTGAATTGGGGGCTATTCTATTCCCTGGATTTGGGTGGGGGAGATAAGCGACCTGGGTTCGCCACTTACAGGGGAGAGCAGGACAGCCGGTTTGGGGGTCTCGGGAAGACACAAATGGGGACGGTGGGGGTTCCCAGGCTCTGCGCCGCCGCCCCCCTCCTGCCTTGTTTTTCTCCCTCCTGATCCGCGAGGCGCTGCTGCCTGAGCCATTGTCTACCGTAGACACCCGCCCAGGGGCGGGCTGGGGCGGGCGCCCGCTCCGCAGCCCCCTGCGGGTTCCTCGCTCCAGACCCTGGTGGGGTGGGGGCGCGGCGTCGGCTGCCACCCTGGGCCCGGACGGGGGCTGGGAGCCTAGAGCTGGGTTTGACGGAGGGAGGGGAGAAGGGGGAGTGGGTGAGGCTGTGGGTGGATTGACTGCTCGAATGGGGTTTCTCTGCCTTGGAGCCTGACAGCCCCCGGCCGGCCCCTCAGGCTCAGATTTTGGGGTGCACCTAGGAAACGCTGCTCAGCCAATTAAGGAGACGGGGCTGCAGTTGGGGGGCTCTGAAAAAAGGGGTACATTGTGATTCCCAGCTTCGCGCATGGCAGGGCTGTGCTGGCGGAGCCATGCTGAACGGGTTAGCTGGTTGTGGGCAGTGCCGGCTGGGAGGGCAGGTGCCTGGGTCCTGTCCAGCAGGCCTCCCGCCACTCCTGTCCCCAGTGCTCCCAGATCACCCCCTCCTCGTCTCACCTCTCCATCGCAGTGGAGGAGACCCTCCCAGCGCCTCACTGGGCCCAGGTGGGTGTGTGAGGTGGGGGTGGGGTCGACTCCTGCAGCGGCAGAGGGTGGAAGAGCTAGACCGTGACTCCCTCCCTAGCTCGGGTTCTCAACCCGCTCCAGCCCTGCACCCCGCTTCTAGCCTCCTGCCCCTCCACGCAGGTCCTGCTCTCCCCTCTGCAGCCCGCGGGCCCCATCCCTGTCTGAACCTGAACTGGTGCTCTCCACGCCTCACCTCCCCACCAAGAAGCTGGCAGGAAAAGCAGGGTGGGGGCATCTCGATGAGGGAAGTGGGGTCCGGATGAAGGGAGGGGGTCGGATTTCCTCCTGGAACGAGGCAGGGCTGCAGCCAGGAGAAGCGGATACTGTATGGAATGTCGGGCTTTGAGGAATGGGGAAGGGTCTCCCCTGGCCTCAGTCTTCCCTGCGCTCCAGGGGACAAGAGGAGCTTTGACGGCTGCGAACGGGCCCTAGTTTCTCAGGAAGCCTTTCGCAAGCCCTGCACCCCAGGGGAGGGGGCCAAGGGAATTGGCTGGAAGAGAGCCAGGAGCGGGGCTCTCCCAGTCTGCTGGCTGGAAGCCCAGTTGAAGGGAAGGGGGAAGGAAATCTACTAGGCACCTGCACCTTCGCGCCCCCTATTTGGCACTTCTGCCTCCTTCAGGCCTTACCTGCCCACCGGTTTGATCCCTGAGCTCTCTCCCCTTTTTTAAGGAGCTGACCCTTGAATCCAAGGCATTCCCTCAAATGACCGTAGTCCACGCTCCTGGGTTCCCTCTTCCCAGCTGCTCCGTCCAGCTGCTCCTAGCCTGGGGTGGGGGGAGGGAGTAGCCAGGCCCCTCTAGCTTCTCAGAATTCCTACTGGGGGGGAGGGGGAGAGTGGGGGGTGGCTGCCAGTTCTCCAGAGAACCAGAGAGCAGGAAAGGGTCGAGTGTGTGCACCCACCCTGCAGAGTGGGGATTGGCCTGGGAGGGGACAGGGTGGTGGGTTCAGGAACAGCTGGATGGGATGCCAGGGGCAGGCGTGGT